CTCCCCCACCCCCACCCGTCCAGCTCACACCAACACACCAACTGCAAATCCTTTGTTGGTGCCACAGACTCTGTGACATCCCCAGGATGGGGCCAGGGGAGGGCGCCCCCAGTCCCTTGAATTCCCCAGAAGCACCTTTCAGAGCCTGTCCATTTCCCACTTCTACTCAGAGGGGGAAAAAAAAAGAATCGAACGTAATCGCCCAAGGAAATGTTGGGTGTGGCCATCGTTAACGAGTTTTAAAAAATATTTTATTATCCTAGCCCACCCATCAATTTGGAAAGATGGAATCTGCTCTTATTCCCATCACTGATTTTGAAGTCCCGAGCCAGAGCCGAGCGACAAAAGCAGGTTAAGTGATTAACCGACTACCGATCTGTGAGGAGCAGCTGGGGGAGGGCAGAGGGCGAGGGGCCGGGTCATTCTTTTTTTTTCCACACTCTCTCTCTCCTCGCCGCGATTACTGACCGCCCCGGGGGCCTGATCACAAACCCTGCTTGGCCAGGGAGGCGGACACTTCGTCGGCTAGCGTGGCGAGCTGGGGCGAGTCTACCATGTCGATGCTGCCCGTCGAGGACACGTTGCTGAGGTGCCGCGGAGACGTGTCCCCGGACACCACGGGCGACTTGTACACGATCTCCGCCCCGTGGTCCGTCTTGGCTTTGGCGTTCTCACGGAAGGTCAGCTTGTGGGTTTCGATCTGCGAGACAGGAGGGGAGGGAGGCCGAGATGAAGAGCCAGGGAGAGGGGGACGGCCCCGCCACCCTGGGAGGGAGCTGATGGGGCGGTGGTAACTGCTCGCGTCAGCTGCCCACAGCAAACGCCTGAGCAGGGGTCCTCCGTCGCCTGTCTCCACGCTACCCTGATCCCCTCTCCAGAGGCAGTGACCACTGCAAGTTTCCTGTGGACCCTGACAGAGACATTCCGCACACGTGTATGCGTGAGTATATAAAAACAAATGGGCGTGTGTTTTTTTTAAATACATATGGTAACAATATCCTCATGCTTTGTACTTTGGTTTGTAGACTTAATGCTTTCTATTATCAGCACCTAGTTCCCTGGGGCTCACTGATGGCTACAGGGCATCCACCAGAGCAGATGTACCAAAATTTACTCCCTATGGGTGGATATTTCGACTTTTCCAGTCTTTTTGTGACAAACAATGCTCTGAATTAATAACCCTGGATAACCTTGAACACACATCATCTCACACATCTAAGTGTATCCTGGAAGTGGAATTGCTAGTAGGTCATAAGGCGTGCACATTTTATTTCCATAGATATTGCCCAGTTGCTTTTCTTAGGACACAGAAGCTGCCAGAGACAGGCGCCGAGACTTCCCTTCACCGAGGCCAGGCCCTGTCCTCCCCTCAGCCTGTGGGGGCTCTGCATGGGGTCAGGTCTGTCCCCAGGTCTGTTTGCCACTCCTGCCTCCGGACCATCCCAGCAAGTGCTTCTCCAGAACCAGTCAGGCTTCCCACCCAAATGCAAGAAGGGACGTGGCTGTCTGTCTGTCCGCTCAGAATCTGAGGTGAGCAGGGTGGCCTGCTGGAGGAGGGGCAGAGAGGCACAGCAATCTGCCATGGGGACTCCGGCTGCCACCAAGTGTGCTGCGATGGAAAGATAGGCCACCTTGGGCAATGTTCTTCCTTAATCCAGGTTGCATCTCCAATTCTGTGCCCATTCTGGGGCATCTTCTGTCCCTCTGCCCCTCCTCAGTCAGTGGCAGGGACACTAAAGACTGGAGAGTGAGCTGCCTCAGAACTTCTGGGCAGGCGTGGCTGGGAAACCCCACTGGTGCAGATGAGGAAAGTGCAGCCGCTAGACCGCATCCTGTGATGGGCCCAGAGGGAGCCTGCTCAGGGCCGCGCATGCCCTGGTGCCCCGCCCCCCACGCTTACACAGACAGACCCACAGCGAGAGCCGGAGTTGAGGAACTACGGCGAATTCGAGGTCTTTGGTCCAGCAACCTCCCCATGGACACTCCCTGGATTTAAGTGTCACTGTTTCACCCTAACTGCCTGGTGACCCACTTAGAACATGGGGTGATGTTCCCATGACTAGTTCTTGGTGCACTGGGGCTGGCTTTGGGAGGGCTGCTTCCTTTTGTGGCTGCTTGTCAACCACGGGGCCTAGGACAGCAGCTCTCACCTTTGCACGAAAGAATCACCTGGGGCTTTAAAAACTCCAGGTGTCCAGATGGCACCTGAGACCCACGGGAATCTCCAGGGTGGGGCCCAGGCCTCCAGCCCTGTGGACCGAGCTCCCAGGTGACCGCAGCTAAGGCCGAGCCGCAGTCTCGTCCACCTGACTCGAGGAGCCGCCACACCTGAACTCGGCCTCCTCCCAGCCCCGCCCCCTTTACCTTTTTATTGCCCCCACCAGGGACGTGGGTGATGTTATCCAGCGACCCGATCTTCGACTGGACTCTGTCCTTGAAGTCCAGCTTCTCGGATTTGACTTCCACCTGGCCGCCGCCTGGAACAGCAGAGAGCGCCGCGCCTCAGTGCCGCCGCCCAGGGCTTCGGGGAAGCGCCGGCCTGGGAGCAGCGAGGGCTCGCCTTTATCTAGAAGGTGGCTTGGGCACAAGTCAGTCCTTCTAAAGGGCTTGAAAACATTTTGCTTCAGCTCTCTAATCAAGGTATGCATCAAATATTTACTCAGAAAACTTCCTCCTTAGGTAGTGCGAAGGTAAATGACAGCTCAGCTGGGAGAAACGATTCCAAATTCTAAATCGGTTGGCTTCCAAATAAGTCGCGGCCCTCTAAGACCATGGAATTAGACTAAAGGGAAAAATGCGCCCTAAATAAAGAAGGGCCCTGACCCTCTCTGCCTTCTCAGACACTTGATGCCACCCAGGCCCAAGCTTGGGAGACGTGGTCTAAGGGAGAAACGACGGTTGACCCTAGAACAGCACAGGCTTAAACTGCGTGGGTCACTTATATGCAGATATTTTTCAATAAATATTGTCTATTTCTTATAATTTCCTTTGTAACATTTTCTTTTCTCTAGTTTATTGTAATAATACAGTATTTAATACATATAACATACAAAATATGTGTTAACCAGCTGTTATCGGCAAAGTTTGTGGTCAATAGTAGGCGATCAGTAGTTAAGCTTGGGGGGAGTCGGAGTTAACACAGGGAGCGGCACCTGAACCCCCGTGTTGTTCAAGGGTCAACCATACATTACTTTGTTGGGAAGCACAAAGCCACCCAAGAAAGCTGCTCACAGTGGGGTAGGATGGTGACACCAGTGGAGGGTCGTTTTCCCTGGAAGAGACTAAACTCCCATAAAAAGTCCAAGGGAGCCAGAAAATAATGAGACCCTCTGACGAGGCTTCTGAGGGCCTCTCTTCCCACAGGAATGGTTCCGGTACAGCTCTGCCCCGAGGGCCTGACCAAGGCAGAGTCCCTGCCCTGGCCTCCCAGGTGGGAGTTGGAATCTAGATGTGTTGTCCAACATGGTAGCCACCAGCCACATGTGGCCACTTAAAATTTTTTTTTGGAAAACTTTTTTAAAATTGAATTTATTGGGGTAACATTGGTTCATAAAACCATGCAAGTTTCAAGGGTGCAACCCAATAAGACATCACCTGCACACTGCATTGTGTGCTCATCGCCCAAAGCCAAGTCTTTTTCTGTCTCCATTTGTTCCCCCCTTTGCCCACCTCCCCCCCTTCCCCTCTGCTATCACTATGCCATTGTCTGTGCCTGTGTTACATATATATTTTTTACTTAATCCCTTCATCTTTTTTCATCCAGCCCCCAATCCCCCCTCTACTCTGACAGCTGTTAGCCTGTTCTCTGGATCTATGACTGTTTCTAGTTTGTTAGTTTATTTTGTTCATTAGTTTCCACATATAAGTGAGATTATATGTACTTGTCTTTCTCTGACTGGTTTATTTCACTTAGCATAATGCTCTCCAGGTCCATCCATGCTGTTGTAGAAGGTAGGATTTCCTTCTTGTTTACAGCTTAGTATTCTGCTGTGTAAATGTACTCTTCAATTTTAATTAAATAAAATTAGTTCAGCTGCTCAAGTGCACTAGCCACGTTTCATGTGCTCAACAGCCTCACGTGGCCAGTGGCTACCACCTTGGACATCACAGGTGCAGAACATTTCCATCGAGGATAGCTCTGTATGGCGGGGAGAGTGGGGGAGCGCCCGCAGTATCATTTTCTGTTCAAAGTCACGGAAGGGACACAGCAATGGCCAAGGGGTCCCGTGTTGCAGTTTGTACAGTTGGTATCCCCCCTGTTGTCTGGGGACCAAGCTGGGACATCCATACAGCCAGCCTTCAGGGGCCAGACCAGGCCTTTCTCCAGCTCTAGCGGCCCGTGTGCAGCCTGCGGGTTAGGGTGTAGGACCAGCATCTGCCCTTCCAGCTCGGGAATGAGACCGGACAGCCACTCCTCCCAGGCCCAGCTCATTCCACCCTCAATACTCTCCTTGGCCCATGCCATGGATGCTTCCCAGGCCCCTCAGGAGCAGGCACCACCAGCCCTGCCCCGCCCCCAGGCCTCCCTGCCCCGTGCAGCCAGCTGCAAAGGCTACCTGGCTTATGATGGATGTTGCCTAGTGAGCCACACTTGGAGGTCACCTTGCTCAGGTCCACTGGCTTGTAGACTATTTGCACCTGGAGGTGAGAGGGAGTGGACAAAGAATAAAATGGGATTATTTTCTCCTGGGTGCAGCGCAATGAGAAGCAGCCGTGTGAGTCCAGGCCCAGCTAGGCAGGGCTTCCTGTCTGCCCCGAGGCGCACACCCAGCCACGGTGGAAACACCAGTGGTCGGGGTTCTGCCAGCCCTGCCCCCAGGGAGCTGGGTCTTCACAAAATAACTGGGACTGAAGACGCTCCAGTCCCACAGGACAGGGATCCTCGGGGAAAACAGGGTCCCTGGTCATTGTGCAGGGCCCATGCCATTTGCTAAGCAAACACGCATAGAATAGTCGCTCCTTCCTGACATGACTCATACAGGTCACATTTGGTGAGGACACAGAGAAAGAAGGGTCAGTACAATCCGATTGTGCAGCATTAGAAAAATCTCGTCAGAAAAGCAAAAGCCGTATCTGCTGGGCCTCAAAGAGGAGAGGGCCGTGTGGGGTTGAGAGGTGGGCTTTCTCCCAGGAGAAGCTTCCAGAAACCCCAGCACACACACAACAAGAGCAATGATGGTCAGCGAGCAGTACCCAGAGCAGTGTGGTGACTTGGACATAAGAGCCAGTTGGCGCCTGCATGTCCTGGAAAGCGACACAGGGGCAGGCGGCCCAGCAGACACCCAAGGGTTAGCGTCTCAGGGAGCAGACTCGGACACACACCGGGGAGGCCCAGGGCTGCAGGGCTCAGACTTGGCCCGAGGGGGCTGATGCCCCTGTACTGCCTGCTGACCTCAGCCCAAGAACCAGCTTCCCGGAGGGGGCACCCCGAGGGGCTCCCCGTCGGCAGATGAGCCTCCTGAAGTCTCTCCAAAGCCACGGCTGGGCTGTGAAGGGGCCCCCAGATGGTCACTGAAGGACCCTTCCCAGCAGTGTCTTTGTGAGAGGTCACTAGACGGTGCAGGAGGCCAGTCACCCAGTGGACTCCCTCTCCCTGCTCTGGAGTTAGGTACTCGGACAGCGATGGCCCCAAGAATGGGTTAAACAAGGACACCAGGAAAAGGGAGGGGCTTCTCCTTAGGTCAAAATCACCCGGAACAATCCCAGTGAATTCAGTTACTCAGAATCATCCTGGGGTGTTAGCTGATGGGGTTGATTGAGGCCGACAGGTGGACGTGGGCTGTGTGTGCCTGTGCAGGGCCTGAGGTGGGCACACGCAGGGTGGCAGCCCGCACCGTGAGGGTGGTGGTGATGGTGGTAATAAGTGATTCTGAGAATAGACCGGGAGGGAGCTGTGCTCTGGGGTGGGCACTGAGGAGGTGGGCAAGGAGCTGTGGGGACTCCTCTGGGCAGGAGGGAGATGGAAGTGTTGGTGTGACCCGGCTTCCGCTCCTCCCTGCAGCCTGGAGGGGTTAGCCTGTGAGAGGAGGAGAGGGGGCTGAGCCTGGAAAGGCTGAGAGGGGAAAGGAAAGGGTGAGGATGGTACCTAGGGCGGGAGGCGTGGGGTCAGGCGGGCCACAGGCCAGGGTTGGGAGGAGGCCAGAGCCAGCCTTGGGGCCAGCCCGGGATAGCCTGCGGTTCTCTTCTAGGTCACAGGCTAACCCCCAGGCTGGCAGAGGGTGCAGGACAGACTAGAGGTACCCCCGAGGAGGTTCCCTGGTGTCCTGTGACTGCCATCAGCAGCGGGAATGTATTCCCCTCCCAGGTCCTCCTGAAGGAGCCGTCTGCTGTCTGCAGCCCACTGGACCCAGCCTCCCAGCACAGCCTCCCCCAGCTGACCAGACAAGGGTTGAACCGGAAAGCACATGCCCTTGTCCTCTGGCAGGAGCCCAGCCTGCAGTGAAGCCGGAGAGCTGGGAGTCAAAGCTAAAACAGCAATGCGATCACGGGTGGGGCGGGAGAACGGGGACAGAGGGACACAGCAGACACTGGTGAGGAAGCGTCCGTGAAGCGCCATGCAGCAGCTGCGTGGTGAGGGCCCGCTCCCGGGATCGCGGAGGGCTCGGGGCAGGAGGCAGCAGCACATTGCAAGAATAAACCCTTGGGCTGGATGCAGAAGACGGCGGCCCAGGCTGGGCATTTTCTGGAGAGGGAGCCCCTCGAGGGCCATCACCATCCTTGGCTGCCAGCCAGGAGCGAGATGCCTGCTCTCAGAAACCCTTCCCTCTGCAGGGGTGGACCTCAAGGGGTCTTGAACCTCCTGCTCCCCAATGTCTTCTGCTGGGGCAGTGAGGGGGCTTGGGAGAAAGGGGAGCCTCAGGATCACGAGTTGGCATATTCTGTTGAACAAAGGACAGCAGGGAGGGTGGCAGCAGAGCCGATCGAATGGGGAAGTGAGGATGCCAGCCCCATACCTCAGGGAAACATGCGCTGGGGATTCAGGAAGTCCCCAAGGACATTTGGAGGAAGCCGAATTTAAAAGGGCCCAAAGCAGCGATTCCCTGTCAACCCCTGGCTGCAGGCGGGTCCCCGTGGTGCACTTCTGTTGGGCTCTTTTGCATCTGAGTCTCTGCCAGGGGGTGGAGCTGGTTTTAAACATGAGCCAGAGGCTTAGGAATTGACTCACCCCCTGCAAATGCAGGAGGAAACAACCGTGAGCAGAGACTGGACTTGTCTTGCTTTGACGTAGAACAGTACGACCTTTGTGTCCACTGGTCAGAACAAACTGGCCAGCTGTCCCCAGTGGAGCCACTCAAAGTGAACCTGTCCAGGTGAAGGGGGAGGAGGTGACAGAGCCAGTCTCAGGTGCTGCCACCTTCAGCCCAACCTCAGATGGGCTGTGGGGCTCCCTGGGCCGTGAGTGGGGTCATGATGGGCCTCAATGCTGTGAGGACGCCGCCTCCAGGTGTGGGCCAGAGAGAGGACTGGTCATCTTCCCCTTGCTGCCCCGTGCAGGCCGGGACCCATAGGTGCTGGGCACCCCTCCTAGGACAGTGGGCACGGAGCCTGAGGGTGGTTTATTCTGTGCAATGTCTCGCAGGGGTACACACTCATGCCACTTCTCAAAAACCAGAACCACAGTCAGGCGCAGGGAGTGTGTGAGGTACTCACACTGCCGCCTCCTGGCACGTGTTTGATATTATCCTTGGAGCCACACTTGGACTGGACGTTGCTAAGATCCAGCTTCTTATTAATTATCTGCACCTTTGACAGCCAGAGAAAAGGACAGTGACACACCACACTCAGGCCACCTGCTCTGCGCTGAGGACTCCCAGCGGCAGGGCGGGGACAGGAGGCCCAGGCAGCGCCCCAGAAAGGCATTCCAGACCTGTAGCTGATCTGCGGTGGACCCCACCTTATAGCTCGGGGTGCACAGGACAGACCCATCAGGAGGCAACTCTTCACCTGACAAGAGGGTGTGTCATGGAGGCCCCTTGGCGAGCGCCCCTGAGGCCCATAAACCAGAGCTGAGTGCTCACGAGGTCCGGGTGGAATAAAATGTGCTCATTTATTTTTAATCCTCACCTGAGGACATGCTTAGAGGGAGGAAGGGAGAAGGGAGACAAACACTGATGTGACAGAAACATCGATTGGTTGCCTTCTGTGTGTGCCCTGACCGGGGATCGAACCCGAAACCTTTCAGTGCACAGACGATGCCCAACCAGCGGAGCCACCGTGGCTGGGCTCCCTTATGCTATTAAACGAACAACGCGTCCCCCCTGGGCCCTCATTCACACCCCCATGAGCCATCAGAACATTCCCCAAGACCCTTCCAGGGCTGTTCTCAAGCTCTCAGGCTGTGGGATCGCCTGCAGGTTGAGAACCCCAGGCCCCACCCCGACCTGGAATTAGAGCCTCGAGGTTCAAGGCTCACTGAGGTCACCAGGGGGACGCAGGTGGCTTTGTGAAGACATTTTAAATAAGATCAACAGCCTCGCCAGGAACGTCCTTCTGTAAAGGAGTTTTTCCCTAGTGTGGGTTTTTTCGTAGCATTCGGTCCCAGAAGTAGAATTTCTAGGTCAAAGTTATCAATATTCTAAAAACACTCAATGCACCTCTCTAAGTGGCTTTCTAAAAAGATCTGATCAATTTACCCTGAGAGTGCTGTTCAGAAAGTCAGCTCCACCGTACCGCTGCCGACACTGGGCATTTAAAGTTTTGTTTTGCTTATTTCTTTGACTAACGTAAACAGCACTGCACTGCTAGCTTATTCTGCATTTCTCCGATTATTACTAAAATTGCGCCTTTGCCCCCTTTTTGCTAGTAGGTGTATTTCTAACATACAAAGGATTCTGTTTTCATATACTCAAATTCATTCTTTGTCATTTCTCCTTCGGTTTTTAAATGTAAAAACCACCCCTCTTTAGAGGCTGATGAGTATCTAATTCCACGTCGCCTTTCTCACCCACCATCCCCTCAGTTTGCTGATGAGGAGGCCACTGGAGGCCCAGAGAGGTTCAACGACTTCTCAGGTCGGTGGCAGAGCCCACACAGGAATCTGAATCTGGGCGTCTCTGTGGCCACAGGCTACGGATGTGACAACAGTGTTTTGCCTGAGCTGTCTGTCCTCAAGGCTGTTGTGTCATGAGTCAAATAAGACAACACTGTCTCCCCTGGAGAATGCTGATGTGCCTCCCGCCAGCAGGGAGGCACCATGACGGCGCCTGAGCCAGGCTTGAGCTAAGAGCAGGGTGAGGAATGGGCTTCCTCACACTGCTTCTTAGGGAGTTGCTGTCACCCTCTGCATCATGTCTTTGAATCAATTTGTGGCACCCTCGGATTTTAAGGAGTCCCATATGAACTTCATCTTTGGGGATTTTTTAAAACTAATTGAAAAATTTTTTTATTGTTGACATTGGGGATTTTTTATTTACAACTATCAACTGGATAAGTCCCAGAGGCAGACTTGCCCACTTTCACAAAGAGCAGTTTAGAATTAGAAAACACAATAAAACAAAATTTTAAGGATAATGGTAAAGAACGGGAGGTCATTAGCACTGACAATTACAAGGCAGATTATTACAGCCTGGCCAGGTAACTCAGTTGGTTCGCGCGTCGTCCCAATACTCCAAAGTTGTGGGTCTGATTCCTGGTCAGAGCACATACAAGAAGCAACCAATGAATGCATAAACAACAAATCAATGTTTCTCTCTCTTGACAAATTAATCGATCAATAAAAATATTTAAAAACACACACACAAAGAGACTATTACATCTAACTCTGAGCTTCCTGGAAGCCCAGGCAAAAAGGAAAACAGGATGGGTTACGTAAATCCCCTTATCTGACAAAGAAAGCTTACCAGTTTTTCAAGGAAAATAACCTGTTTTCTGTATGAATCCATACAAGAAATTCATCTAACGAATCAAGAGCCATTAAGTAATAAAATTTGCAACATACATAGAAACAGCTGTTTCTTTTCCCCCCACCCCAATATGGCTTTTTCTTGTTCCAATCCCACAAAAAAGACAAGCTTTTGTGGGATTTGGCAAGAGACAGGAGGATATTTACAAAGCAGACACGAATTACTATTAGTCACCAAATTAAGCCAACACCCTTTATAGAATGTTAGATTTACAGAAAGGAGAAAGAAGGCTAATGGTTGACATTATGAAATTGGAATCCTGAAACAATACGTGTGATACTGAGCCTCAGGTCTGGACAGACAGTGAAAACTCTCATCATAGGAAAGAACAATGTTTTGGAAGCTCCAAATTTTGAACTGGAGACTCCTAGGCAGGGGAGAAATTCCTGTGGTCAGGGTTTGGCCCTGGAGGAGAGGATGGGGTGAGGTGGGGCGAGTCTGCTTTGGTTTAATCTACTTCCTGGAGGGCCACAGCAGTCCCAAACCCTCATTAGGCCTTGAACTTGTTCCATTTGGGCTCCTCTCTCTCAAGGTGCTCCAGGCTGGCCCAGTGTCAATGGGCTGTCCCTGGCGAGGTCTGTCCCCAGCACTACCTGGTGCTTGCTGGGCCCGAGCTCACCTCACTAGGGTCAAGAGACCTGGTGCTGAGGACTGGGAGTGGGATCCAAGGTGACCAGCCTGAGAACTGACTCAGGAAAGCTTGTCTAGGTCCTGTTAAGTAAACCAGTCACAGCAGAGATCAAATAATAGGCGAGTCACCTGTAGAATTGTTTACATTGTTCCTTTAAACAGCAACTGCCCCAAGCTTCTTTAAAATGATTTGACTTACACGTTTTTTTTCAGAAACATAGGTGCTGTGTACAGGGATAGATGCCTGGAGGGTCTCACAGGGCTGCCCCAGAGGAGGGTAGCAGCCTGGCTCTGCCCTCCACTCACCATAGGGCCCAGCACCTTAGTCCAGATTCACTTGAGCCCAGGACAGGCAAACTGTCCCAGGTAAAAATTCACTCTATTTACTCCACATAAATGTTCTTCACCTGTGCTTTTAGAAATGAGAACTGGGACTTTGTCAATAAATATAATGAATCTAAAAATACTTCAGTTCTCCCGGAGACAGATGCTTACAGCATTCCATCGCCATCTTGTGGCCACTGGGAATATTGCAGCCCAAGTCTTTCAAAGTCTGACAGCTCGGGTAGGTTTCTGTCCTTTCTGGGCTCCGAGGTCCTGTCCAGCCTGGGGTCTTTGCATTCCAGCTACGGTTGGGGCATCCTCAGAGAAAGTGACGTTAGCTCTGTCTGCTCAGAGCCAACCAGACCACCCCCACGTTCGGGCCCCTGTGCCCTTTTCTGGCTATGACCCTTCTCACCCTTGGTAGCCACAGGGATGCCCAGTTCTTCTTACCAGGCAGCCTAGGCCCCATTGAGCACCTTCTCTCTGACCCTGGATGGCACCAGGCCCCTGTGCTTCCTTCTGTGCTCTCCACTTGCCACAAAGAGGGACAGCTGGGGTTGGTGTTGCCCCCATCTGCCCTCATTCCATTCTGACGGCCTCCCAAGCTCACCCCCCCACGGCCACTGACAGTTGAGCCTGGGGCTCTCTGCCCTGGGTGCCCTCCAGCACCCTTGCTCTTCTCCATCCTGCCTAGAGGACAGTGTCCTGTCCTGTTGGGTCAGGGCAAACACCCTGCCGGTTCACAGCAGGACCTCCTTCATCAGCTGTTAACTCTCCTTAGCGCTTGTGTGAACGAACAAAACTCCAGCCTAAACCCCCACTCCCCTGGCTATCCCAGTTCTTTTGCTTTTCCTCTGAAAATCTCCAGCATGCAGTTTCCACTGTTCTCTTCCAGCCCATGGGCCCAGCATTCTACATGGGGGACTATACCTGCAAAGGCCAATAGTGGTCCCAAACAAGGGTCTGTCCTAGCTTCTCTGAATTGTTGGTAACACATGAGATTGTGGGTGACACTCCACAACACAGGTGACCCTCAGCGTGGGAGACCCTCGATGGTGTGGGCTGCTCCCGGCTGCATTCCCTTCGCTGGCCAACCTCTCCTCCCCCTTTATCTCTCTCTCTCCCCTGGCCTGGGCCCCGGGGGCAGGAATTCTCAGCACTGGGCCTGGTACTCAGGGGTGCCCCCAGAAATGTTGGATGAATGAATCCAGGAAGGTAGGAACCAGCTTCTGTTGCTATTTGTATGTTCTGTATCACCAGGATGTACGGACGTCAATTTCACATCACTCACACCTGCAGTGAGTTTTTTTTTAAATCTACTTTAAATTAAAACATTTTAAAATTGATTTTAGAGAGAGAGGAAAGGAGCAAGAGAGAAACATCGATTTGTTGTTCTACCCACTTATGCACTTGTTGGTTGATTCTTGTATGTGCCCTGACCGGAGATTGAACCCGCAACCTTGGCATAGCAAGACGATGCTCTAACCAACTGAATACCCAACCAGGGCCTTTTAAAATATTTCAAATTCTGGTTCTCCAAGTCTGAACTTCCCCCTGCTCCCCTCACAAAGAATAAGCCTGGGACAGACTCTTGGGGGGGGAGGTGCAGGACCGAGGGGGTGGCCTGCGCTGGGCCTGAGCTGACTGAAGAACCAGGTACATGGAATCTGGGACAGGTTTGGGACCAAAAGAGGAAAACCAATAAGTGTATGAGGAGCACTAAGAGTTGGAGTTGAGGCCAGAGGCCAGGAGGTAAGAATCGGAGGACATTGGGAACACCTGGGGAGATCCCCTTGTGGTTCTAA